TTAAGCAAACACCACGAGGCAAAGCAGTTGCAGGAGTACAAGCACCAGCCTTACAGGAAAATGTGAACTGCAAGGACAGGGATAGGGAACATGCAAAAGTGCACTTACGTTTGATCTCAATTGTCTCTTTAAATTGTTTAATTCTCTACTGTTCTGCAATAAGATGTTTGCAGGTAAGACAACAAATAGCTTTATAAAAAGCAAACACATTTGTGAAGAAGACTAACACCCTGTACTTATTTATTGAGATACAAAGCCATGAATAGCAGAACATATTTATATATTTTTAAATATATACACATATATATAATAGCAGAATAAAACAAGATTTCTAAATATACCAGCTTTTGGAGCTGATCCTGAAAGACCCAGACCTGTGATAGAATTGTCCAAACTTTCTAGACATTCCTGTCTGCTCCACCCTCTAGGAATTTAGGACCTGATAAAAAAAAAATTCTTTTCAAATACCAATCCGCTAAATGCACTTTATCATAATCCATTTTAAATTTACTGAAGAAAATGCAAGATGTGTAACACCAGAGCTGGACTGATCGATGGCTGTAAGGAAGGCAATGTACGTAGGCAGATATTCCATCTTTTATTAGACCTACTGATGTAATGGAAGCTTAGAAAGTCAGTGGCATTGTTTAATTTGGGGTTTTTTTTTCAAGTTCTGCTGCACATTTTCCATTTCAGGTTGCAAATTCTGGTAACTATTGTGCTGTAATGATAGTGTTGCTATAGAGCTACAATAATCAGGCAATGGAAGACAAAGTTTGTAGGTAGAGGATTGTCTAAAAAAAGATGTTAACTCTGCCTACAACTTCTACTGTGGACTGTGAAAAGGAGTTCTGAAGACACTGTGCAACTAAAACCCGAGTTACAGACCTTTGCAAGAGGTAATAAAGTGCACTAACAGTGCACAGGAGGAATCTTTTGACTATTAAAGTCTCTGAATTTTCAACAAGTGCTGGGGCTGTGGGGAAGGTTACAAACTTTTCATATACACACTCCCTGAAGATGCTAAAGAGCACAGTTTAACCCTAAACTAAAGACTGTGCCTTCTCTTAAGGTATTATACTGCACTTTTAAATCACTTCAGTAGTAATGTTTAATAGTAAACTGTAACACTTCAGACCACTGTTGTGAAACCTCCTATGCCACATTAAGTCAGACAAGATACTGTATCAGATGCCCTATTATCTTACCCTAAGCACAGAAAGTTGATAGATTTTGGCAGGCACCACATCCTGCAGGATAAGTCGTTGTGGGAACAGACCCGTACAGAACACTGAAGCTCCTGAAGAACTTGAACTACACCTTAGTGCTACCCCAGTGCAGAAGAGGTGTAAACCCAGGCACTTTGTTCACGTTTAGAAGTCAAATGTGGATACAAGAGACTCCTGGTCCTATTTATGCCATCCATCTCCTGCAAAAGCCAGACAGGGGAGGTAGATGCTTCTCTGCCTTTAATTATTGGTGATTAAATGGTAAGAGCCCACACTTCAAGTAGGCAGTTCAGATCCCTTTATCACAAGCAGAAAAAAAACTATCTTAAAATAAGATAATTAAAATAAAATAAGTTCCTGGGGGGAACTCTTCTAAAGAAAATGCAAGATATGGTAAAATCCCCTTTTGCTCAAAGGGGCTTCAATCCCCACCTCCCTCTTCCCAGGAAAACATCATTATTCTGTGGCCAATTTCAGATTAAATGTCTCTTGCTTAAACGTCTTACGCTGTCCAGCACAAAGAGAGGACGCACGCTTAGCAGTTATCAAGTGTATATATAGATTATACAAGCTATTAATTTCTTTTACAGAGTGTCTTAGCATAAACAATTGCTCAGACTGAGGCGAGAGCAGCTGGGCACCCAACTGAACAGAAACAAGGAGCGTGCGTGGGGGGAGGTTAAGCATGTAAGATATGCAGCCATCTGCAGCACTCGCCGGGGACTGCTGGTAACACTCTGCATAACCAGCCAGACTGAAGAGATTTCCTCTTGCTAAAACATACACAGAGACTGGAACACAGATATATTAAAATACTGCATCCATAGCAGGGTATGAGGTAAGTGCCCTCGCCCCCTCCCGTGTCAGAAATCTCAGAGAATGCAGGGGAGGAGTTGAAGAAACAAAGAAAGAAATCATGCAGAAATAAGTGCAGCAGACGAGAGCTTTGCTCAGAACTCCAAATCCCAGCTCTGGCAGCTGAGGTGACGTCGTACAAGTTCCAGCTGAAAGAGGCCCTTGGACAAGCAAGCTGGAGTCGCATTTTGTATTTCCCTTGAAGCTTTCAGTCTCTGCACAGCACACTGAAGCCTCACAGCTTTTGTCTCAGCTCTGGTGTTGGAATGAAAGACAGAACCTACAAGGACGCTATTTCTCCAAAAGGGCATGAGGAACATGAGGAATGATGCTGGAGAGGGACCTGCATTCTCAGACACATTTGGGAAATGCAGGCTGAGGAAGGCATTTCTTGGGTTGCTGGGGTCTATCCCAGAGCAATGTTCTACAAGAAATGACAAGATTAGAACAAGGCTCTTGTGAGTTGTGGATAGTTAAAAGGGTCAATCCCAAGCAAAGCTCAGCATTTCACAGCATTTGTTTGAGATTTTAACACACAGAGGCCTAATATAAATGTTTTATTTAAAGTAAAAAGTGTGCACAAACAAAGGAAATGATTACACAACAACATTCAAGACCATATTCCATATGAAACAGGAAAATAATAGCGACAATATTAACTAGCAGAGCACCCATAGGAATCCAACTCACATACAAAAAAGGAGGTTACTCCACATAAATACATCATGCTTCTGATGCAGACACGTTCTCCAAAAAACAAAGCCTACTGCACTGGACTGTTTACACCCAATGTCCCTTCTGAATATTTATGACAGTTGCTATATGCTTAACAGTGTAAAATAACAGTTAATATCATGGCACTTTGGAAAAAATAAAAGTTTAAAAATGGATTTACAGCAATTTAAGATATTTGTCACTTTTGCAACATTCTTAATGGTTAGATATGTAAATAGAAAAAGTATCTTTTCTGTGGCATTACCTATGTAAAAAAAAAAAAATTAAGTTTTGCTTTACTCTTCTGTGATAAATGGCAGAAATGTCCTTCCTTACATAAAGCCGTTTTCCTTAATACCCCATAGGAAACTAAGCCACTGTAGAGACAAGGCTTTTCTTGTTTAAATAGCTTCTGCATTTAATATCAGTTCTGCCCTGATGTCTAAACCAGCCATGTGGGTGCAGGAGTCAGAGGCTGAACAATCACCATTTTAAAACTGAACGTAAGCAGTTCACTTGACATAAGCGTGCTGAAGGTATTAGCTGCTCTTTAAAAGGTTTACTCTGATATTTTACATTTGAAAAGACACAACTTGAGTTTAAGGGAACATGATTTTTAACAGTGTGGAGGTTCAACACTTCCCTGAAACCGAAGCCCCTCAAATCACTTCCCAGTTTTAAAAACTCAGCCCAGTATAGTTTCCTATTCATGTTGCAAAGAAAAATATGAGCTAACTATGATACCATGACACCAGCATGTATTTGTGCAATCTCTCTCCTTGCAGCTCACATGGAAGTGAACAAACATACACAGGAAGATTTGTACTATGAATTTACGGTGTCACAATACAAGGATTTTCAAGGAGAGACACTGGCCAAGCAGAAAGTCTTTGTAAAAGCTCCAGGTAATGTTTGCTAACTTGTGCTTGCAGATACTCAGACCTGCTTTCAGTGACACTTAGCTTGTCTTGCAGCTCTTACATAATACAGATTCCTTTCTTCAATGTCTCTTAATCCCTTTTCCCCAAAAGCAATAACAAAAAAAAGTGGTACATTTGGCATTTCTTCAGCCAAAAACATTCATAACTATTGCTTAAACATTACAAATAAGAATTACCTGTGCTGTATATTACACTGCTTACTAACATGAAATGTAAGAAACACACCTCCTAAGTCCTAGTTTGAACCATTCTTTCAATTGCTTTCCTTGAGCCTGCTCCCAACATTTCAGGTTTGACTGTGATTACAGATCACCATCTCTAAGGGGAGGAGTTAAGGGAGTCATTGTGGACAGCACCTATTTTTATTCTAGATGTGCTTTTTCCACTGGCAAAGTGGAACACATTCCCAACAATGTGGCAGTGAGATCAAAAAGGAACCAATGCCCTGATCCAGGCCCCAGCTGTACCGTGTGCAGTTCTGATGCAGTTAAGACAGAAAGTGTAAAAGCAATAAATAGTGTGAGGCTCTACATCTGTCAGTATTAGCTGCCCATTACCGCTAAATTATGCTGTGGAGATTTTAACTTCTCAAAGTGTTAACTGAATTCTTTATTTAAACTGACACTTGATGCCGTGTCCAACCCTTGCTGACAGGGCCAGGCTAGAAAGGCACTCTCTGCATCAGCATGTAATTCCTAGTGTGAATTCTGGAGCAAAGTCTACCAATTCTAATATTGAGTTAATCATCTCCTTCAGGACAGGATCAATAAACCCTGTGAAAGCAGCCATTCTTGACCTGTGCAGTGTCTGCTCTCCTTGCTGTCATTTCAATCTGAAGGGCACTAACATAGCTCTAAGCATAAAACAGGGAAATCGGATGTTTAGAGAGAAGAGATTCAGAACTACAGAAGTGATAAGTTCTTACTCATCTTGCTGAAAAACCTGAAATCCTTGAATGATAATTAATTACATCACCTGATGCAATTTGTGTTTATTAAGCACTAAAAACCTCTCCTTGCTCAGAAAGCTGTACTGGCAACCTATACAGCCAGACACCTTTGTTCAGGCACAGGAGCCCCATAGACCAACTCCTGTGTTAAAATTCAAGTTTGGCAAAACTGCTGGAAAGTTTAACATTTTAAATCTGGCAGCTGAAGGTTCAGCGTAACAACTGTCGTGGACAACATTAATACAAAAAGAAAATTAGTGAGTAATTCACTGGTGGCAAGGGCAGGATGTTCAGTTACTCATTCTATGCAAGTGCATCCAAATGGAGAGATGTTTATCCATGCAGAAACAGAGTAACAATTGGCACAGTCCAGAAATGGAGAATTCAGACACATTCCTCAGCTGACATCAAAAGAGGATTTATGTATTCAAAGCCTTCAAATTCAGACTGGTCAATCTTCTTCACAATATCACTATTAAGATTAAGAAACAGTCATTAGTTCGGCAAAATTTAAAAGGTAACAATATTAACTAATAGTTCGACTTAAAATTTAAACCTGCACAGTGGATTGCAATTGAGAACATTTCCCTTCTCTCTTTTGTTCTTCCCTACCTTTACAGTTACCACTGTTTTTTTTCTAACCCTTATAATGGTACTGAAACACAAAACCCCTCAGGAGCAGTGACTGGGCTGCATGTTCTCACACAAAGCAATCTACAAGGTCTGCAGTTTTAAAACTTTCCCTAAACAGTCAGTTTTGTAAAAACCTGAAAACATTAGATGTGACAGATACTGCACCTGCATCAGGAACTTTTCTACACTTTATTTGCACATTCCACATTTAGAAAGGGATGAAGAAGGAAGCTGGATCTCAGACCTGATTAAGGTGCACAGGTAACATTTAATGCTCACTGTGTTAATGTGCTACATGAATGTTACATAAAAGCCTAGAAAAATTCCTGAAATGTGAACAGCAGTGACTCAATCAAACCAGAAAGGCCCTTCCCTCCTCATCCCACATCAGGGCCCCTCCAGAGTAAGGAACCACAAATCCACTACCAAAATCAACCACATTATCATGCATTTTACCAAGGCTTTTCAGCCAGGATACCCTCACCTGACTACTAACAATTTAAAATACCCAAACAAGCCAAACCAAGCATCTTCTCTTGTTCAGATAAATTCAATTTAAACCCAACATTCTAGAAATATCATTGCTTGAAGCAATGCAAAAAGAAACTACTTGACAAAACAGGTCTTTTCCTTCACACATTCATTTCTTGCAGATGATACCACTAAAACCTGTGAAATAGCACTTGTTTGTCTTTTCCTGAACTAAGATTCTTTATAGCAACTTTTCCACTTTTAGTTGATTTTTACATTGTGCCAGAGTAAATTGCTTAATCCAGAAATACTATGTCTATCATGAGGACACACAACAGAATTTTCTTTGAACTAACACAAGAAAATGCTATTTACTGCTTTAAATATCCTTTCATGTACTACAACTACAGCTAGTAAATGAATTTTGACAACCTCTTCACTGATTTAATCAGAACTTTGTAAATTCTCCATTACTTACTCGTCGTCTGGAGTGAGCTGCACAGGTTCATTGGTGAACTGGGAATCAAAGTTATCCAGACCAAACTCTCCAGATATATTTGGCTTAAATGGAGGCACCACTTGTTTTTGCTCCATCTAAGAATAAATGCACTTAATAAGTGACACCAAGAACGAGTTACAAGCTATTGAATTCCTTTTAAACAAGGCTGGAAGTTACTACTACGTTTTATACTTTCTACAATCATTCTATTAATCTCCTGGCACTTACTGTGTGTAAAAGGGTTAAAAGATTCTGCATTGCAATCATGGTATAACATAAATTAAGAGCTCAAGGGTTTTGAGCTTAGTCATCTCTTGTGCTCAATATGAGTTTTCAAGCCAATTACTGTAGCAAAGAAAATCAGCCAAGCCAGTGGGCTCTCACATACCAGATCCCAATCCACATTGCGGAAGAAGGGATGTCCCTGGATATCTGCAAACCCTGTTTGAGGATGGCAGCCCAAACGCTCCTTTGGATCCTGTGCAAGGAAGAAAGTATTTCTAAATAAGTGCCCTGGCCTGTTCGTGGTGCCATGAATGAAATGCAAATGCTACAAATCCCACAAGAAATGAAACACCAGAGTCACATGGGACACTGAAGAACTAAGTTCACATTATTTACTTTGGAAACTGCCCCAATTCACTGTCTGAAATAGGCACAAATATATGGAAGCCCCTACCTGAATGTTATATGAACGACCATGCCATCTTTCTTCATTTGTATTCAGACCTTTTTAAACACACCACATGTTTCAGAGCAGGTGTGGTTAGATTACTAATTAATTTGATTTCTAACCCATACCCTCCCCTGCTCCTCCCTGAGCAGATTATGCCAGGCAGTCACACTGGGGCAGTAACTGCAGCTACTCGTAAATACTGTGGAAAGAAGGCTATTTTAACAAGACAATTCCACCTCCATGTACAGCTCTCCTACCAGGGAGCTGTAACAGTGTGCAGTGAGCAGTGTTATTTTCTTAAAGTAATTTAACCAAATCTGGTTTCTCCTGTTCCTTTCTTCCTACTCATGCAACTCTCACTGAAGGACAGCACGTGCTTGGACTCATCCACTACTAAATGAGCACCTTCTGACCCTCAGGCTGGAGAGCTCCCAGCAAGCAGTGAGCACATCCTGCCTCTGCATTCCCTCCCTGGAGTCATCAGGAGGTGTTAAAGTGATTTGTTAAGCTGCTTCTGTAAGAACCAAAATAAATCTGATAAGTTTCTTCAGTTCCCCAGGTTAAAGAAATCACTTGGAGCACGTCTATGCCTTTCACTTTGAAATTTCCTTACAATCCCAACCTGAGATCCTGAAGCTTCAGGTTTTCAAACAAGTGTTCAGCCCCACTAAAATTCTGTTTTAGGCTCACGCCTTTTCTACTCTGTTTCTCTATATGGCAGATAAAGTACATAAGCTGCACATCAGTCAACAGGTATTCAAAAAACCAGATGCTCTTGAGAAGCCTTCAATAAACCCCTTTAGCTCTTACCTTGTTAAGGAAACTCTTTAGAACACCTGCTGCTTTAACAGAGAGGGATCGGGGAATTCGGATCTGTTTTTCCAAAATTACTGCAAGAAAACAAGGTTCCTATCAGCCTTGACATCTTTGAAGTCAGATTAAAGGTAAGCAGAAGCACAGCACTGAAGTGTAGAGTGTAGAAGCACCTATGGTCCTTACCTTGGAAGAGATAATCTTCTGTGTTCTGATCAGGATTGTCAGAACTCCCCACGATGTCAAACGGCGACCGGCCCGCCATCATCTCAAACATGAGCACGCCAAGAGCCCACCAGTCTACGCTGAAGCCTAGAATTCAAGAGAGAAAACACCACTGGAGACATTTCACAACAAAAATACCAACACTTTTGAGGCTAAAAACAGTCAGAGAAGAAAGAATAAATTAAAAAATGTAAGTATTGCCAGTCTTTCCAATCAGCTGAATAAAGGAGAGATAATGGTTGTACCAGACGTTACTTGGATCATTATGTGCACAACAGGAGGGGATGCTGTACAGAGACATGGAAATGTAGAGTTTAAAGGTTGGTGTTAAGACCTTAACAAAGGTTTAGATAATATTTAAGCTACTCATTACTAACCAACAGTGTGTTATCCAGGGAGGGAGATAAGGACAAGGAGGAAGTATGTGATTCCTAACAGTAGCAAGTCAGTCATTCATGGAGCAAAGCACATCTACTCTGCTAAAGGAAAATCCCAGTAGCCAGGCTGGGACTGATACAGTCTGTCTGGCCTAGAATGTTTGTGATAAGGAAGGAAGATCTAAAGCCAGTCTGAAAGAGACATTTGACTGAAATAAAATGGTAGATTAAAAAAAAAATACACAAACATCTACTATCTAGGCCCTTTGCAATGCATTTGTATCTAATCTATCACTGCTGCCAAATGTAAAGCTCCAAAGCCAAACACAATTCCAGACTGCAAGTATATCATTAGTAGTATCTAAAATAGTTATAAACAATAATAAATTTGAAAGACTCAAGCTATTCTTCAAGATTGGCAAAAAGAATTTAAAACAGGGAAGGCAGAGTCTCTCATTTGCTTTGTGTGATGTTTCCTGCTCTTCCTTTGAAGGCTTTATTTACTTTTTCAGACAGGATGATGAATTAAGACTTCTAATGGAGATTTAGACTTTCTACTGCTAAGCAACTCACGTAAGAAGTAAGAGACAAGGTGGAAGTTATGAAGTAGCACCAGAAAAATTCCATTTACCATAATCCTCTCCCCGGAGAATTTCAGGTGCGATATAGTTTGGAGTCCCACAGAATGTGCTGGTTGTGTCACCAGGCCTCAGACCCTCCTTTGAGAAGAGACAGGAAGAAAATACTTTACAGTTAACCAAAGATCTCACGCTCCCTCTCTGTTAAGAACTTAAATTTTGAGTTCATTTAAATGTCCTTAATAACCAGCATAACGGCAATTCCAGGGCAAAGTCAAACTTGTGCTCCAGAGTCTTTGCAGTGACAACAGTTTTTCCAGAGGAAATGGGCAGAGTCACAGGATCCAAACAGAACCAAGCGGGACTGACACATTTCAGCCTCTCACTCTGTTTGAAATCCAGCTGCCCTGACTGTTCAGTCAATCCCTCCCAGGCAAGTTGATCCAGCAGCTTTATGAAAACACAAAGAGTACCTACACTTGTAGTCTGTGCACTTTGGCATTTGTCTTTTCTCCATGCGTGGAAGTGAAATGAGTAAACAGCTCATGAGCCCTGTGTCCAAATCTATACCTTGACATTTCACATTTTTAAGTCTCTGCACCTTTTAATTTATGACAACTTCTTAATTGTTGATTTTCCTGGTTAGCAAGAAAATAAAGCTTACCTTGCACATGCCATAATCTGTGAGTTTGATATGCCCTTCAGAATCTAGCAGCACATTATCCAGTTTTAAATCCCTGTAGATTATCCCTCGTTCATGTAAATAGTTCAATGCCAGACTGATTTCAGCAGAATAAAACCTGATGTAGAAAGAGATATTGATTGCTCAAGTGATCAAAACCCAACCCACAATAACACAAGTCTTGGTAGTATGATAGTTTTGAAACATAATCCCATGTATTCTATTATTTTTCCACAGAGAAGTGGCAAGTTGTTTATAATCATCCAAATGTTTCTATCCACTTCAAAATTTGTTTTTAATTAATATTAATGACTACTGCAATCATCCCTTTCATCTCACCATCTGAGATTAAGCATATGCACCAAGAACTCAGCATTTGCCTGGACAGCTGGTAGTGGTTGTTGTAAGAGAAACACATTGATTTAGACATGTAAAAAAATACCACAGAACTGTTTTTCTAGAAAAAAAAAAAATCACACTCAAGTCATACAGGGTAATGCCAATGCAAACAATACCTAAGGGATTCCTACTACAGTTCCTCCTTGAAATGAAACTACGGAGGCTTGCAGCACCAAAATGAGGATGCAGTTCCACATTGCTTAAATCCTTAACATCTGGAGAGGATTTGCTGGCTCATCCTCATAATCTCTGCACTGTTTTGATGCAAGAAATCTGGAATGAGACACACCTGGCATGCTCCTCTGGCAGCTTCCTCTGCCTCTGCATATGGAACATCAGGTCTCCTCCATTCACATATTCTATAACGAAGAATAACCTGGAACACACAGGATTCTTACAAATGATTGTGCACATGGTTGAAAGGGGTTTGAGATGCTACAGGTCTGGTATCAGTGAATGCCAATTCCATTCCTCCCACCTCTCTGCTAATATGGCTGGTTTCACCACTTCCCCTCCTTTTGAATAAATTTCCAGTGTTACATATAATATAAAAGTATACTAAGTTTCTCTAGGTAATTCCTTTATTGTTAAAAGAAAGTAGGTAAACCTTTCCATACTCCTAGATTAGAGCTAGTGCTTGTCATTATTATATCTGTGACTACATAAATAGATGTACATCAGTTTCTATGCACAAACCAGGAAAAAAACCCAAACTGATTTTCATTCCTGACCCCTTTAATCTCCTTTGTTTGTGGTTAATACTTTCTTCTCACTTCCCTCCCCTAGCTTGTCACCTTTACAAAACAACAAGAGTATTATTTAAATATACAATAACTGTATTTTATAGGTACTTAAAAGTTATTACTGTATAGAGTAGGAAAACAATCATTTTCATCTCTATTACTTGTGCTTTCCTTTTAAAAATTCAGATTCTATTTTCTGAGTCTTGCCTGGAGATTCATCTTCAGAGAATCCAGGCAAGTTTGAGACCAACTTCCTCATTGTTTAAACTTATGGTTTTCCTCTCGCTTTTCCCCTCCCATTTCAAGGTCCCTTATATCTCATACTCTCAAGCCTTTTTTCCCCACTAGCTGCACTTCTCTTTCTGTCCAGAAATCTTCGCATCGCACCTAACAGTACTTTATATCCTTTTGCATCTTTCCCATCTGAAAACCTTAGATGAACACAGGATTTGGCTCATAAAATGCTACAATGATTTACAAAACATTGACTTTTGCTACCTACCTACCACCTTATGCTTTAAATAGGCCTAACAGGATGATTTTTTTTTTAATAAGACTATCTTCTTATTATCTTATGACCTTTACCTGCTTTCTGTCTGAAAGCAAGAGTGCAGTCCAACCAGAAAGGGATGGTTTGAAGCCTGTTCAAAGACGTGTTTCTCTGTCTGAACCCAATCAATATCCTGTTTATTGAAGAAAAGTGACATTCAGAAAAAGGACTGTTGCACTTCTTACGTCAAGTATTAATGACAATTAGCAGAAAGACTTCCAAGTGCTTTGCTGCCCTTATTTTACTTGCAAGAAATTAAATATTACATAGTTCTGCAATGTGAAGCAATACAATACAGTACATTCCATTTTTTTCCTGAACATCCTGTACTTTTAACCTCAATGTGTAACCACACTTGTGAATGAAAACATCTATCAAAGATAAACTGGTGCAGACAAATGTAAAGTAGCACCAAGAGGTGCAGCAGAAATTAATGGCAGACTGAGAAATAAATGTAAAACCTCTTGGACAGCAAGTCACAGTCACTCAAATCTTTTCAGAGTAGCCTAAAGAAACCCAAGGAAATCCTCACTAACAGGAGGTTTTCAGCAGTTTAACACTGCAGTTACTGACAAGTTTTCACTCATCACTGTGCAAGGTACAAAAATTGCTAAGATAGAGGTCTGATTTAAACAGCAATTCAAATAACATTGGGAGATTCCTTCGTGACAAAAAAACCCCAGACTTGAACATAAGAAAATCAGACTCCACCACTTCATTTCAGCCCAGCAAACCAACATAAGAGGAGTGATACAGAATACTGCTCCAAAATAAGGAATCAATCCAGGCTTATTCACTTCAATTCTGCAGGAGTGCTGCTGCAGACAGTGCTGAGTATGGAAGGAGACACTGAGAGCAGAAATCATGAGGCCCATGACAGAACCACAGGCACAGGAGGGTGGCTGGGAGCCACCAGCCTGGCAGTGAAGAACCCAAAATCTGTTACCTGCCTTGTTTACCTTCTATAGTGCAGTATAACAGTACATGTTTAATTTTCCATGAGTGCTGCAGACCACAGCCTGGCTCCCACCTCGTGGGGGATACTGGAGCTCTTGGGAAGAGCTGCCCAATTCACTGACAAACCCCCTGCCCACCTCATCATCGTTGACGAGCTCTTTCTTCACCACTTTCATGGCGTAAATGCGCTCGGTTTTCTTCAGTCGGACCAGCAGCACTTTGGCGTAGCTGCCTCTTCCAATGACTCGGAGCAAGTCAAAATCCTGAAGGCCCAGGCTGGAGGAAGCTTTGCCGCTTTCCCTGATGCTCATTGCCTGTGGATAAAGACACTTGGGAATGGGGAAGCAGCTTGCCAATGTGAGCAACTGCGGGAGTCGGCATTTCGAACAGAAGAGCAAAATTAATATAAACAAGTAATTCAATTAACAGTTGTTATTCTTAAAACTGCACTGTCCTGGAAAGGAACGTGAGGGGGGAAAAAAGGAGGCAGAGGAGAGGTGGTAGCTAAGAAACAAACCAGACTGGAGGAATTTGGAATACTTTCTAAATCAAGTGAAGGTTCAAAACAAAACAGTGAGCAAGCCATACACACACACACCTGAGTGAGCAACCCAAATGTGCCTTATGTGCTCATTTTCAGTTTGTGACAAATTAGATTACCAAAAATCTACAAACTGAGAGACATACAGGCTTTAAGATCTCTGAGGATCCTCATGGATCCCTTCCAGCTTGAGATATTCCATGCACAGAGTTAGCCTGGTTAAGCTATTTTACCTCTTTTTCTTCACCAACATGGTCCAAGCTCTCATGACTCGAGGGATTGTACGGAATCACTAGAGGTGAAAGAAGAATTATTAGACCAATGCAGCACAAAAGTATTTTCTTTTGCCCTAAGATTTCCACACTCAGATACACAATTTAAATGCATCTATGGCAAGTATTCAAATGATGGGTTTGAATTAGAACCATCACTCTGACTGCTACAGGAATAAATTGTTTGGTTACCACTCCAGTAGAAACTCTGCTGATGCTGGTAAGGGTTGTTTTTTTTGCTTGATCAGGGCATTTAAAGCTTACTGATGGAAAAATGTAACTGACAGCCTAAATTCTCTGGTTTTAGTCAAGTTTCTTAAACTGATATGAAAAACTGGAATTTTTATATTTATATCCCCCTGATTATTAAGAAGCTGTCTTACTTTTCTTATTCCACAAAAAAGTAAAGAAGGGTTTTTAAAATAATTTTATTTCAAAGTTCATGTTTCAGCAAGTTGCAATAATTTAAAGAAATAAAATTATTGATGTTACCTGATTCTACATTATCTGAATGCACTGATGATGGATCCATAGGCATTATTGGCTCCTGCAAATATGCACAGAATTCTTGTAATAAACTGTCCAAGTGTGAGAAGCATTATTTTAGAGTCAATAAATGAAATTAATGATCCCTAAGGAATACAATCTAGCTACTTTTTAACTTGACTAGTCAATATAATTACTGCTCTAACCCTTAAACAACAAAAAAACCCCAACTGCAGTCCTTATTTTCCCTATTTTGTGGAAATTATAAAATTTCCAGAAGCTGTTGAAGTGACAACTCAGTACAACATAGGACAGAAGGACAGTAGATAAGAAGTGAGAAAACTTAAGTACTTCAGTAGTACATATATTTGTCAAAAGAATTCACAAAATGTAGACTTGTAGCTGTCTGCTTTATTAAACCAGAAGCAGTAATAAAATTTTCTGGTGACTTAAGAACTAAGGATGATTGAACTTCTTGGGAGAAAAGTCAAGTCTTCTAAACTTCATCTTCCTTTTCTGCAAATGGGAAATAATCCAATAATCTAACTGACAGTTAGAGAATTTATTTTACCTGTACTTCACTTTGAAGATGTAAAATAATGTGCTATGTAATGATATCGTGAAGGATGAGATAAATGTCACTTGTATGCTTATACTTGACACAGATGTGAAAACCAGACTCCTGTCTTGCTACTAATTCTGCTCAGTGAATGCCAAATTTTCCTGCAAAAGTCACATTAACCATAAAAAATGATGTTTCATCTACTGTGATCATTTGCAGGCTGCAGTCAGAAAACCAGTAGCATAAAATCTTTTGTTTGTTTGATTGGTTGGTTGTTGCTTTTTCAAGACAACCTCTTGGGTGATTTTTACTCACTGGCTGTAGTGTGTGACGGCAATCACTGTTGACAAGCTTGTGACACTTCTTGTGAACCAGGAGTTTGCAGTTGATGCACTTGTAGCCCTGGCGCCCCAGGCCCCATATCCGGTCAGTGCAGATGGCACAGTGAGCTCTCTGCAATCATAAACCAACCCTGATTAAAGAGCAAAACTAAACCATAAAAACCATCCAGCCACATTTTCAGTAACCAAGCTCATTTGCTGTGCATCTCATCTCTCTGTGCATAGGAGTCCTTAACAGAGGAAGGCAGGAGAGCGAAAGCTTCAACACATTAAACCACCAGATAACGGGAATGGGAAGATCACAACTCACTGACAGTCACAACACAACTCTAAAGATCCACAAAAACAGGGTGCCTACAGAGGCAAGAGTGGAAAGTGATTAAACTATGGTGCCCTGACAGCCTCTGACCTGCATGAGGTCAAAAACCAAAACAAAACAAAAGCCATAGTTAGATATGAGGATGCTCAAGATGAAGTTTAGTGGAGACAATCTCAAGCATTAAGCACACAATACACTAAGCTTAGAGAAGAAGGAAAGATCATTGAAGTTGTCAAGGGACCTGACTTTTTCAAATATTTTGGGTTTGTTTTCTGCTGTGTCTTTTTCTGAATACAGCAGACAGCCTTCTGGGTCCTTCACTAATTATATTTGACCACTGCTTCTTGAAAATATTCCAAATGGTTTGTTATTTTCAGTTGATTACATGGCACCAGAAGCAGGCAGTTTTAAAAGAGAAAACTGAGACGTTTCTCCAAAGTAATGAAAGAAAAGTCTATGCATCATAAGCAACTTCAGACCTTTTTACCCCCAGAACTTAAAGAACTGAAAATGTACTTTCAGCTCACAGACATCTAATGTCAGTATCTCAATTTGCCCTCTGGGAAGATTTTAAGGAAACACAGGAGCTTTTATACGATTGATATCATGGTTTCAAAGTATATGTAAAGAAAATTGCAACCAATTTATGTTTTTCTATTTTAAAGTTCCTGGTAATTTAATATTAAGTTTCCTGAAAGTACAGGGTTACCAAAAGCCTACAGACAAACAACAAAAATGAGAACAAAACTACCTTACAACTTTTCAAGGCAGTGACATCATCGTTAGGAAAGTAAGACATCCCTGTATCATGGCTTTAAGTACCCAACAAGAGTCTCACCCTGTTAAATCGTTTGGCTTGGAAAGTGTGACCATTTGCACAATAGAGCTTTCGCCACCGGCGGGCGCCTCGGCGATAAATGGATTCTAAGAGGAAAAACACAGGATTATCTCCATACAAATACAAACACAGAACTACAACAGCTGCTCATGGACCTTTCTGTGTAGAGGGATTTGCAGAGTAAAGTTTCACTCCTGCACCTTACAGGAAGACAGAGGAACGTTCCAAGTATCTTTTGAAGTTCTGGAAAAATTTGAAATAGAATATCCCATTCAATGCAGTTGATTTTGATTTTCCAGAATTAAAAGGAACAGTGAGTCAAGAGAAGGAAAGCTGTCCAAACAATACAAACACTGGTGTGCAAAGTATGCACATGCCTTACCTAAACTTAGGGAGGAACGGTGGGAGAAGGGGAAGGAGGAAGGGATGTGAATTTTGGGAGCATGTCCTGATTTATATGATGGCTTGACAAATCCTCCAGTGTTTTAGATCTAAAGCTGACACTGTTTGGTTGTCTGGGTTTTTTTTTTTAATTATTATTTTTATTTTTTCTTACTTGAGGCATATCAGGAAACAAAACTGAAAACTAAGATATACAAAACCACGCTGAGCTGCAAATCTCTTCCTGATTCAGCCTGCAACCTCATTTTTTTCAGACATTCTGCCCAAGTTAACTGCACATTTACATTTGTCAGAGACTTGGACACCAAGCTGACAGATGTGAGTGTGCATAACATATACACACTCTTTTATAAAACTTTAAGACTGAGGGGAAATTACCCCTCTAATGCCTAGAACATCAGCTAACATAACTTAGGGGTTTTCAGAGAATCCTCCTGATAGTACCTAAAGATCCATTTTAAATCAATTAACCACAGATCTGTAAATGGTGACACAAGTCATTACCACTGGTTACCACTGGTTACAAGCCTTACATTTGTCACCCAGCAATCTGTCAACTCCCAAAAAGACAGGAATAGGATAAAAAACCGTCACGATAGAAAAGGCAAAAGCAAGGAAAGCAGAGTGACATGGATAGTTAACAGGAATGTGAAATGCTTATTAACAATGAGTCAGAAGTGACAAACAACATTAAGTTTAGCAAGACTTTCTATTCCTTTTCAATATTTAATTTATACAGATTTGCATTATTAATATTCATAAGTGTGGGATGCCAAAACATAGAATATCAGAATCTGCTAAAACAGGAAATCTGAACTGGTTTTCTGTACTTCTCAAATAAAATGCCCACTTACTGTCTTCTCCTGGACAAGGCATGCCAGGCCGCTCTGGTACACAAGGAAACACTGCAACAAAGACATTAACTTCTGATGAATTTTTATTTCAGACAGAAAATAAATCTTTGGGTTAAATACAACACTCCTGAAAGGCATTCAGCCATATGGGAGGACAACACTGACTGCATTTCAACAAAACCTACATACACGAGAAATATGAGCAAAAAGCAGAATAAATGAAGTTATTTCCTAAAGAAAGTACCCAGAAAAAAATAATGATTCTGGTTTCTCATGTGACCAATCTTCACAGTTGGTCAAGATTTCCAAATGCTATAAATGTATTATATGACAGTGACCCAACAGCTACATATGATGTTGACAATATGTCTTTTTTTCTCCAGTTCATTTAGCTTTAGTAACAATACCCATTTTTTACAGTTTATTCAGCTTCAGAACTGTCAAAGAGAAGTATACCTGTGGAGAGACAGCCCTGGTGCCAGTTTAATCAGAAGCTTATCAAATACCAAAATAAATGGAGAAAGGGCAGATCAAAAAGTAACGTAATATACAGAAACCCAGTGAAACACATCTACAAACAGATTACATTCTTCTTCCACATTTTAAAACTCCCTGAGGGAAGCTGAAAAGCTTCCTCTTCCTTTCAAATGGGCTGATGGTGAACTAGACTTTTTGCACCCTTTTAAGAGCAGGAGCATGTTAAGACACTGTAACGTAACACAACAAAACTTCACAATGATCCCCTGCTCTTCTGCTCTAATCTGGTAAACCAAGATCAACATTCTACTTGCAAGAACTTACAAACAACAAGAAAAATACTTTGCAGAAGCTGCCAAAATAGGCATATAACCCTGAAAAATAAAAATTGAACAATTCCACATCAAACAGGGGCACGATATTACTGGGTTTAAAACTGGTATTGGGTTTAAAACTGAAGCATTTAGTTTTAGAAAAGCCAAACCTTTGACTCATCTGGCATCACAAGTGGAGCTTATTAACTTTTTTCCTAATATAGATGCTGCTCTAAACCACTCATCAATAACAAAGTGCAGGATAGTAAATAAATATAATAAATAAAACAAACAAATAAACTGCACTGCATCCCTTTTCCCATTCACTGCCAGCAAGTGTATGCAGGCACTTGGGCTGAATGAATGAAGAGACCTTGAAGTCTGTCAGGAAGATTGTCCTTCATCAATAAACTACCAGCAGATTATTTTCCCCCCCTTAATTTAATAAAGAACAGCTAAAATCACAATGCAAGGTCATCAGCATCCCCCTGACACAATTCCACCACAGGCTTTAACCAAGGAGGACGTGCAAAAGGCACAGATAATGCAAGGTCAGAATTCCACTCTTCACAGGTACAAACATGAGCAGCAATACAGCAAATTTCCCCTTACCATGAATCAGAAGCTCTGAATCCTTGTTTAGTTCATACAACCGAAAGGCCTCTTCTAACTCCAGCTGAGAAGAAACTGTACATGGATCTCCTGTGGAAAGATAACAGAACAACACAGCACTCATCCCAATTTGTTCTGTGCCATTCCACAGTTCCCTCACAGTTGGTTCTGAGATAATTATTGTAACAAAGCAGAACAACATTCTCAATTGTGGTAGTATTTATTTTTAATGTTCTTCAGAGAGTACATCTGAAAATACATTCATATTAAATGCTTTCAGGGGAAATAAAAATATGAGATATTCCCAAGAGGCAAGCAGATCATCATCCCAAAACATCACTGGTTTGGTCTGCTACAAGCATGGGCATAGATCATCTCAGTACAGGGGGTGCAGGTTATGGTCCTGCACCTAAAAACCTTCTGAGATTACATTTTATTTAGCAGATTTTTAATTAGAATGGAGTCAATTCTATTTTCACAGCTGCTTCAACACTGCCAAGAATTTAACCAGAGGTGCAAAAGCAGTTACACCTCTAGTCTCTCCTCAAACCTCAATGAAAACTTCTGACAAATAACATAATCTAAGCACAATATCCCATTTCTCTGATTTTTAACTACTACTTTCACACTCTCACTTTTTTGAAATAAAATTCCTTAAAGAAAGGGCACCAAGGCAGGAAAAAAAGTGTGGGTTGGCTGGTTTTGTTTCTTCTTTTTTATAAAACAATTGCAGTTTTGTCAACCATTTGAGATGGTGCAGGTTAAATTACATGCCAAATACTTGATGATAGAGTTTCTCTGCCAAGACTGTGTTTTCTTTGGTGTCTGATGCAGATTAGTAACATTATAAAAAAACTGTCCCCCTAAAACAGTAAGCCTTTTTCAAAATAATACTACAATTACAACTGAAACATTTTTAAAACAATGTTGAATCTCAATCATCTGCCCCAAAGAAAGAAAATATTTCTAGTTATTAGTTCAATTTTTTCCCCCTCTCTCCACCTACACAAGATGTTCTGTGCAAGAACAAGGGATTTATCTCTGCCTGCTTGTACTCCACCATGAGCAGAACAAGATTCTTTCTAGCCAAAACCCCACAGAGCAAGTCTGTTGCCATATAACACTTCCAACTTTTAAAAGAAACACTACTTTTCATGTCCTTAAGTGGTAAATTGGAAGAAGGCAGGACAATTCCCATCTCAGCTGAACTGGATCCACTCTGGAGGTTTTACTGCTCTGAGTCTTTGGTCAAGACCATGGTTTGAAAGTTAATGAGCAACAGTCTGTTAACTATTTAAGCTCACTATTAAACTCACCCCACAGAAGTTTTTCCAGTTAATTTGTTTTGTTTCTAATGTATCATAATGTATTTGTTTCTAATGTCTCTTCCCCCAGCACAGGAAGGACATGGACCTGTTGGAGCAAGTCCAAGGAGGCCACCAAGATGATCAGAGGGATGGAGCAGCTCTGCTGTGAGAAAAGGCTGAGAGAGTTGGGATTGTTCAGTCTGGAGAAGAGAAGCTTTGGGGTGACCTTATTGTGGCCTCCCAGTACCTGAAGGAGCTCATAAGAAAGATGGAGAGAGACTATTTACAAGGGCCTGGAATGACAGGACAAGGGGGAATGGCTTCAAACTGACAGAGAATAGGTTTAAATTGAGTATTAGGAAGAAGTTCTTCCCTGTGAGGGTGGGGAGGCCCTGGCACAGGTTGCCCAGAGAAGCTGTGGATGTCCCATCCCTGGAAGTGTCCAAGGCCAGGTTGGACAGGGCTTGGAGCAACCTGGGATAGTGGAAGGTGTCTCTGCCCACGGCAGGGGGTGGAACTGGATGAACTTTAGGGTCCCTTCCAACCCAGGCCATTCTGTGATTCTGTCCATTCTTTTCTATTGCTAAAATAGTAATAAATGTAAATGGTCCATTTGCAGCGTTCTGCCTTTATTGTTTTCTGCACATCATAATCCCTCAGATGAGACTTTGAAGCCACCTGCCATCATTTCCCATCCATTTCCCTACAATTGGCCAACCTGAACATCCCACTGCCCACCCACTCCACAAACTTACATCGTGCAGAGCACAGGGAAGAGAAGGAACAACTTATTTACTCAGACTCACTATTGGAATCAACAAACCAGTTTTTCTTCATTTGTTTTTGACATCTGTACAAACAGCTTTGTGTTTCCTTTTGGCAGAAGCAAAAGAGGGTCTCAAGAATAAGCAAACCAGGAACAGAAGTTGATAGACATCTCTTTCAACAAGTTCAAGCAGTACAAATATTGCAGTCAAAGACAGCTGGGACACACAGGAAAATATTTACTTTTGAGTTATACAGCAAGAAACAACAGACTGAGGACACACACAAGGCCAGTGCCCATGCACAGGATGTTTCAGGAGACAGAGGGAAGATGAATCAGTCATATACAGATAAAATAGAAATTTGTCTAAAAACAAATCAAGTTAATTCTATTTTCCAGTAGCATCTGAGAATTTTGGAAGTGATTCCACTCAACTAAATTAGATCTGTCTTTGTGTGCCATTACCTCTATGACACAGGAGTAGTTACACATGATGCTTGCAGCTTGCAAAGGCTAAAACCACACTTAGTATATGCCAAATAAAAGCCTTACTGACCAGGTAAATCCAGTTCAGTCACACACATGAACGGGCAGTTCAGTCAGGAAGCAGTGATGCCTTAGATCCCTTATCTTGTCTTATAATATAAAAAGCATGAGCAATAGTGTAACACGAACCAGCCCACAACACACATTTCCTCATGTTACTATTAAAGAGCAAACTTCAGTTTTAGTGAAGAGGATGTGATACAGGAATTTTCCAAGAAAGCAAAGCAGGTTTCTAGAAAGAATATCTACTGAAAACACTTCAGAGTGGTGGAGAGAGAGGAGGCAAGGGTCTGGGCAAGAGACCATGCATTTTTCATGCAAGAATTACTCACAAAAAAGACAGAAGGATTTTTTTAAATACACTCCTCATCACCAAATTAACTTTTTATCCACCGACATTAAACTGTAAGTCAAGTGATTAAAGCAAACACGGCTTGCTCGTGAAAATTAATTCCTTTGTGAACATATGAATATAATTCAGTCAAACTGCAGCATTCCTTTTTTCTTAACTTATGTCTAATTAAAGAGCAGAAATTGAGACAGAACAAACTGTGACTTCAAATAAATTATTGAATCAGCACAAAATTTTTATTAAAATATATACTTCTTACTATGACAGACACTGCAGACTCTTCCTCTGCAGTGAGGAGTCCATTGTCCTCCTCATGATAAAACAACACAGCCAGCTTACTGTGAAGTAAATGTTCAACTCCAATAGCTCTGCTGTATGATCAGTCATAAACACTTCATTTTACTGTACTGCATCTGCCTGGTGTAAATAACTGTGGCACAATGAGAGGAAATAAAAACCCCCACCCCGCTCAGACTCCCAAACCCACACAATCTTCAACACACCTGCCTACAGGGCTCTTCCAAAAATCAGCTCTGGTCCATGTTTAGCTTTCAGCTCCAAATAAACTGGCAGTCATCCAATTTTGAAAGGGAGGAAACAGTTCTATAAGCACCTTTTATGCTGATGGCTGCCTGCAAACACCAACCACGGCCAACAAATCACTGCACACTGCAGCCCTTTATGTACTGCATCAGCTAAAACAACTCCACAGCCATCCCATAACCCAGATGTGTCTTTGCTGGGGCTCAAAACTATGTGCAGAATAAACTGATTGCACAGAGAAAATAGGACCTACAAATAACCTTTAAAAAAAATACTACTGTACACATACAGCTCGACTGGATGACATCTCCTAAGGAACAGGGAGAACAGTCTCCGGACTTTCTTCATCCAAGGTAAACTTTAAGATGGATACTGTAAGTGCTAAAGATGACAGGTTCTCAGCTAAAGTTGTTATTGCATTTTGAAAAGCAACTATACATCATTCAGACAAGTAATTTCCCTTTTAATATTTAGAAAAGGTTTTGTTAGAAGCTATGTGTTAATAGACTTCAGGTTGTTAAAGTAACAGCTGATAACACTCGAGATATAATGTTTTTGGTTACACATACAACTCAACTATATATTAAGTTGCACCAATATTTTAGACAAATACTGCTATTTGTATAATTCAATGTCAGTTGAACTGTTTTTCAAAAATGTAAGATGTAAAGGGAATCATGGTCTTCTTCAGCAGTATAAGGGAGTACTTTCTGTTCCCTTCATAAGAAATCCCAATATTAAATTAACATTTTGATATTCACTGAGATCTTACTTGGTTTAAAAAGAGAGAAAGTTACACACTCAGCAGTGTGAAACAACCACCTTTTCATTAAGCTGCACTTACAAAGGCACTGGATAACCATTATTTTTGGAGTCAGATTTACTATTTCTATGCTCTATAAGAAGGCAGAGGGAAAGGAAAAGATGAAAGGGAAAGAAAAGCTGGAAAGTTGAGCAGCATATTGATGAGCATTGCTTTACCTTCCTCATCAATCCACTTCATGGTGAACAGCTGCTCGTTGTCGAAGGAGCACATGTCCCGAACTTCACTGCACAGTCCCTCAAACGAGATGGAAGGTTCAAAATAGGTTATCATGATGTCCCTGAGCAAGAGAAAAACAGATTTGAGAAATTACACTGCAAAATGCAGCACTTGACCATCACCTCTAACACTGTTCATATGCCACCAATATAAAACCCACCCCTGATGCAGCCTCCCTCCAAAATGTTAAAGTGAAGTACAGAGGTTCCCTTCCTATAGAAAAGTCAGGCTCCAAGTGATTTTTATTACTTGACATTTAATCCTCCAGGTATCTGCTTCAGAGAAACTAAGATTTAATGCTCAAATAACTATGAAGTGAGTTGCAGCAGATATTAGCCATACAGAGAAATCAGATATATTACACCAATGGAAACTCAAGAATGAAATGCTGCAAATGTTTTGAATACTGTTAATAACATATTTTTGGGTTTACTTGCTCTGTAACAGTTATTTTGTTATTAGATATCAAAATGTAAAAACATACCCATCTTCTCTGACTAATTTCTGATTGTGTAGATGTTATAAAAAATTAATGACAAATATTAAACAGGTTTTCTAGGAGATTTGGGAGGATGTTTCAAATATTGAAAGTGCCTTTAAAACAAGAGTGGTGTTTCACTCTATGAAGGGAAGGCTGACAGAGAGCCATATACTTAGAATTCAAATTTATCTGTTAAGCAGAATGGGTATTTCTGTGATAACTGAGATTAAAAGTGAGTTAACCTGTTTTTAATATGTTAGCATAAAATGCTGACCAGTTGTGTTGGTACTGTCTGGGCCTTAAAGGGGAACAGGTGACTCAGGGTTCAGTCCCTTAAACAAAGGAGTCGGGAGATACAGTTCAGAGGAAGGTGGAAGGTTGTTTACAACACACTCCTCCTCAAACACCTCATTTAAACCCAATGTCTGAGCTACAAGACTAATTTTCCCATAAAAACCTCAGCTAGCTGGATTTGCATCAGTGGGTGCCAGCTCCCAGGACTGTTTGGTGGGTGAAAAAAAATAACCAAAGTTTTCATCTGGTCAAAATTCATATCAAGCTTCCTACCAGAATGAAGTGTACATATGCAGCAAGTTAAATGTCTTTAAATCACCTTGTGCATGGGCAGAGTGGGATCAAGGAGGTGACTTAATGTAACAGTTATGGTCAGGGAACCAGAACGACGCTCCAGAGTGCAGAGAGCACACGATAAACAAACTGCTGGCCTGAGGCTCCTCCAGGTTCAGCAGCAGGAATAAAATCAAGCAGCAGTTTCTAAGCACTCCAGAAGAACAGCGAGTCTGCTTCTGGATTTATGAGCACGATCAGCTGGTTCGGGTACAGGAAAGACTCCAGTAAATAGGACAGAGGTGTCCAGGACAGACACCATACCTCTTCAGTAATCTGAATAAAGCAGTCAAAAAGTTGCTACATGGTTTGGTTGAGGAATTGCTCCTCACCTTTCCACATGAGACAAGATGCAAACCAAAACATTTGGAGCCCAGTATTTAGGCACAATACAGCAATTTGGGGCAAACGAGGCTCCATTTGAAAGCCCCAGCTTGCTCACTCCACACAGCAAACTCTTCTGTGCAACACAAAGGTCTCGCTTTGCATCCTCCCTAAAACCAGCAATAACTGGGAACCCAATTCCAACGTCTATGTCCCTGACGGAGGTGGATCTGACAGCGTGTTACTGTCACAGACACACGGGCACCCTCCACAGAGCAGCTCCGTGTTGGGAGGCAAAGCCTTAACCTGTATTTCCTGTTTTTCCGGGAAGGAAATAAGGCACTGCTTACTTGGCAGCTCCACTGATTTGGTGCTAAAGTTTACCATTCCTTTGTTTATTCACATTTTAGTCCTTCAAATAAAGGCTAGTTTAATTATTTTAGAATTTAAGCAAATCCTCTAGATTACTATCTTAATAACTCCAACAGGACATGTATCAGACAGTTATCAGATAATTTGGAAGATCTCCTCTGCTATACCAAACACTGATCACTGTTTCAGAGAACCCTAGCTCAGAGCAATATTAAAAGAAAAAGACGATATTAAGTATAAAAAAGGTTCCACAAGCAACATCTGCAAAACAGCCTAATGTATCCCATATTATGTATGTGGAAATACAGATACATTATACATATTATCTACATACCCATATATTTATCACACACCTGGGTCAGTCATTAAGGCTTTTGATAATGTCTAATTACAGACCACTGAAATGAAGCCACACAGGACTCCTGGGGAATTCTGCTGTGTCAGGGTCATTTCTGTACCATAAGGGACAGGCACTGACACTCACAACCATTTAAAGCATTTCTTTCCCCTGTGGAGGTCTGAGGTATCAAATACCTGATCCCACACAATCAGTTTTTCAGGAAAAAATGTACTTTTGCAAAAGTAAACCAGTGTTGAAACAGCAAGAAGGGATGAAAGTGTCTCCATAGGCTTAGACCAAAGCTTTCTTATGCTGAACACTCTCCTTGATCATCAACAGACAACCCAAGACATTATGCTGAAGAATTGGTCAGAAAGCATTCAAGACAAAGAACAATAAAGTATGCAAGAACTCAAGAATCCTCTAGAAATTAATTTTATGGAAATCCTTATGGAGGTACATTTTGATTTTAGAATTAAAATTCAATTTTTTTCACCTCTCTTTTCCCACTCATGCAACTACATTAAAATTAAGAAAAGAAGCAAGTTTAACACGTATCATGAGAGGACTGTCAGGAGTATTTTTCATTCGAACCAAGTCAAACTGAAGGCAGGCAGAGCACTGGTAACTGCTTTTTTATTAAAAATCTAACCTACATTACAGCCTACACAGCTAAAACCAGCGTAAAACCTATGTCAGGCACTGAAAGAATACAAGCTAGGATTTCTAATCATGACAGAAAAATGGTTCTTATACTTGATTGGTTTTGCTTCTTTTTTTAAATCAACAGCATGAATTCTACAGGGTTCCTCGAGCACAAGCAGTGTGTTATTCCCACCTGTTCTCTGCTGTTACAACATGTATTAATGATATAACAACTTGTGCTGACCTGACAAAAAGCATCTACAACAAATGAGATAAGACAAAAGGCAAACTTTGAATATCATCAGAGAGCTGAAATGGGTGTAATTACAGATGCTGATCAGTGCCATAAGCATGGAGCTGCTATACTTTTGTCACTCTATCAACAAAAAACTATGTAAACTTTTAGAGTAATAAATTCCTAAAAACTCCCTGAGGACCCTCTATCACACACACTGCACAAATCACACTAACTCTTTACAAATGGTAACATTATTTTAAGCGTTTTAAACAACCAGCCCTATGAGAAAGATAAGCAAAGTTCACCCGAGAGAAGGAAATACGTGGACAGACTCAACCCACTGCCCTAGTTCCCAAGTCTCCGGGAAATCCCCACCCCCTTATTCTCAGGATCTCTGTTCATTTTCAGGAAAATTTTCCTTCCTGTTTTAACATCTTTCATGAATTTAAGATAAAGAATTAGCACTGCACAGTTCAATGAAACAAAGACTCTTCAAAGGGTCCTGTGTGAAGTCTTTGTCTTGGCTGAGAAAAGCAATTGGGCTCCTGGCCAGACCCATGTTTTAGGAATTCAGGTTCAGCTCTTTTCCCCAGGCAAGTATCCCAACTATCAGATTCACAAACCTTTCAAGAACAACTCTGTGCTTCTAAGTGGCTGTTGGTTTTTGGTTTTTTCTTTACCCAGAAACTCCTCCTGGAAGATGAAAAGACCTTCCCAGCAAGACTTTCCCAATAACTTCTACAACCCACTTAAATACTTCTATTAAAATGAAATTAAGAGAGATTAACATTTCCTGATTAACACTATTTCCCATTAAATCCTCGATCCAGCTCTAATCTCGAGATGGTTTATTTGAGGAAAGGGGAAAAAGGTGCCTTTGATATCAGCATTCAGATCCTCAGTCTCCAAGTCATTCCAGGGTAAGTGCAAATAAAGTGTTTGGCTTTGATACCCACTTGATAACGCGAGTCTGAAAAGGGGCTTGAGACCTTCTGTTGTAAGAAAGTGGAGAGAATAATTTGCTTATATCTCAAAATAAATCATGACTAAGGCATTCAGCCTGTTAGTCTGTAGGTATTCACAGTGGTTAACCAACACCCTCCATGACTCAGTGATGTTATTAAACTGATAACTGCATTAACAGAGAAAAAGTCAAAGGCTCAAAAGAAACATTCCAATATCTCTGAAATTATTACCAGGGTCATGAGCCAGCATTTCTGCCCAGTGTAGCAGATTTTTTCCTCACTCCCACACCCTTGAGCTGCTTTCTCCCTTCCTGCTCCACAGCCTCCCTCTGCTAAAGCAAGAATTCATGTGATTGCACGTGAAAATGATCAAGATTAAAACTGACCCAGCAGAAGAAAAATAAATGGTTTTAACGCAGAACAATTCCCCTTTTAGTTCACTGTCTGACCAAATGAATGCTTCTGCCAGCTGATAGCCAGGGGCATCTCCACTTCCTTAAGAAAAGGTAGATTAAAGAGACTGTGAAACAAAGAGCTGAGAATTTCACATACTATTACTTCGACAGAGTCTCACACATCCTTTAAGGCCACAGACTACGCCAGTCTCTAGAGTAACTTCTACAGACTTCAGGCAAGAAAAGCCCCAAATCAGACACAAGCCAGAAACTAAACACAGCAGCAAATGCCAAATGCTCAGTGTGGTTTCTATACCTCTCCTTAAAATTATAGGGCCAGAGATAGCAGAGAGTAAATACTGAAGAAGTAATGCACCCCTTCTTGTGCTGAACACAGATAACTGCAAGGAAGCTGTCAAGTGTCATGTGTTCACTCTTAATCCAAAAATGCAATCTACATTTTTTGCTGCTTAGATCACCTCCACTCAGACTTAATGGCTCAATGAACCACTGGCAACCCTTGCACTCAAACTTTTTAAGTCCTGTAACTGTTACTATTTAATAGGGGGCCATGAGCCCAGGACAGAACATTTCTTCTGCCTGATATGCTATTGCTGGAGAGACACTGAATTAGGCCAACAAAATTCAAATTTCCATTCTGCAGACCTGTAGTATTTTGCTTTGTTTTTAACAGTAGAAGTATAATCGATGGTACATAATAATAATAATCTTAGTTACCACTCATAGGCTCCCTTGCAAGTCACTCAGTCCCTGGGAAACAGCCTAAAAACCTATGAAACAGATTTTAATACAAACATCCTCTTTTTCTAGATCTGGACATCACCTAATACAGAGCAACCAGGACCAAAAGCTGGACCCTGAACGCACGAAGTATGAATTTTGCCGTGTATTATGAAGGAATATGCAGTTGTTTCTGCCAGCCGGGCCTGGGGATGAAGGGAAGCAGGGTGAGCAGGGCAAAGAGGCTGCTCAGGTACATCCTTGTTCATCGGGAAGGCCATCCCAGCAAGAGGGAGGATCCAGCTCCCCCCAGACCCCAACATTCGGAGGGGAGGTTCCTCCGGACACAAGCGCTGCACTTGAAATCCATGTAAACACGGCTGGACGGTCGTAGAGGGTTCATCCTACCTTCTCTCCCTCCTCCCCTGCAGTCAGGGGATACCCAGGGCTGGAGCCAGGGGTGTCCGGGGGATCCCGTGCCGGGCACCCCGGACCCCGCTCCCCGCCCGCGGGGCTCGACGCCGCACTCACCCCTTGTAGTAGGCTTTCACCCGGACCTGGTGGGCGCCGTCCCCGCCGAGGCTGCCGCCGAGGCCGCCCGGAGCCGACATGGTGCTGCCGGCGGTGCCGTCCCGCTGTGTCGGCATCGCCCCCGGGCCGGGCCGGGGGATCCTGAGGGAGGGACCAAGGCCGGGAGCGGCGCCGGGGCGGCGGCGGCTGCGCGACCCCCGCGCCTCAGCGCGCCCCGCCCGCGCCGGGCGGCACTACGTGCCGGGAGGGGGGCGGAGGCAGCGCGCAGGAGAAGCGGGGCGGGGGGAGCCCGGAACCGCGCGGAGCGGCACCGGAGGGGAGCGTGGGATTTTTCCGGAGGCGTCGTTCTGAGAGGAGCTGGGCGGCAGCTCTGCTGCACAGGGATGCGGGTGACAGCGCCCTGTGTGTGCCCCCCTCGCGAGCTGCGTGGGCTCTCCCCGGCGGGACTCCACACCTCTGGGGAGGGATGTTCCACGCCGGAGCGGAGGGGGGAGAGGGGGTGGCGGCACGCAGGTAACCGGGGCCGCAGTGGCGGAGCCACCGCAGCCGCCGCTCCCAGTCGGGCAGGTCCGAACCCGTCGGACGGTCCCTCTGCTCCCTTCGCCGCCCCCGGAGCGGGGCCGGCACCGCGATCCACACACAACTCCCCGGCACTTGGTACGGCCCTGCGCGGGGCATGGCGGGGCCGCGGCGCCGGCGCGGCGGGAGCGCAGCCGGATGTGGGGTATTGGATGTTCAGCGCCGGGACAGGGAGCTAAGGAGGAAAACTCGTTTTACCCAGTTACCGACGGGGCTCATCCCCACAGCGTGGGCAGCAGGCGAGGGAGGGATTCTCCCCCTCTGCTCTGGGGAGATCCCACCTGCAGTGCTACTTCCAGCTCCGGGATCCTGGACACGAGAAGGTCGTGGAGCTGCTGGAGTGAGTCCAGAGGAGGATCGTGAAGATGCTTCGAGAGCTGGAGCCCCTCTGCTCTGGAGACAGGTTGGGAGAGCTGGGGATGTTCAGCCTGGAGAAGAGAAGGCTCCAGGGAGACCTGAAAGCCCTTTTAAGTGCCTAAAGGAGCTCCGAAAGAGCTGGAGAGGGACTTTGGACAAGGGATGGAGTGACAGGACACACAGTACTGGCTTTAAACTGAAAAAGAGTTAAGATTAGATATTAGGAAAAAAATTCTACCCTGCGAGGAATGTGAGGCCCCTGGCACAGGTTGCCCAGAGAAGCTGTGGCTGCCCCATCCCTGGAAGCGTTCAAGGCCAGGGTGGATGGAGCTCTGAGTATCCTGGTCTAATGGAAAGTGTCCCTGCCCATGGCAGGGGGTTGGAACGAGATGATCTTTAGTGCTCCAACCCAAACCATTCTGCAGTTGTTCTTCTTTTAAGGCTGAAAGAGCCAGAAATGCCTATAGAGGTACTGGCTGGAAGTAGCTCTCCATCTGTGGGCCAGGCTCCAGCTGAGCTGTTCCATGAAACCAAACCCATCACTACCATCCCAATGCCAGGAATAAAAGCATTGGACACATCTAACTAAGTTCCTTCGCAATCAGTTCACACCATGACTCCTCCACTGTTGTGGCTAATCCCAGTCTGATTTGAGAGGTGACAGAAAATTCTGGATGTTAACACAAATCCGTGGCAAAAGCAGCCAGTGCAGAGCTGATGGGCAGCAGGAGCTGTTCAGAAATGATGGCAATGCATTTCTTACAATTACCACTGACCAAAGTGTTTTCTGTTGGAATTCTCAAGACTCCATGCAGTGTGGACTCCCCACAAGACAATATGGTCAGTTCAGGCAAAGCTTTAATTCCCATACATACTTTTTTTAGAAAAGTAACATGAAGGATTTGTTTTAACTGAGAGGGTAAAGAGGGTGGTTAACAAAAGGTATTTTGATTAAAGCTGTTAATCATAAGCCACCTTATCACTGCAAGCAGCATTTCCTCTCAGCTCTGCCTATTTAACATCAATAACTTTGACAACACACATTTATTGCCCAACACTTCCTGAACTGAGGGATGCTTCCGGCAGTCCTAAGAAAATGAGAACATTTTTTTTCTTCTGTAACAGTAAAACAATTCCTTTTTCCCACTGCCCCCTACAATCAGTATTGGAGCACCCTGGAGTTCAGCTTTTTGTTACAGGCTGCTGCACTTCCAAAGCAATGCACTTGGCTCTTCCTCATGTTTGTGATAAAACAACTTAGAGCCTTATTTTCTTTACTTTAGTTGTGGTTGCAAAGTACAGCTTTTTTTTTTGCTACCTGACCTTCCTGCAGGGATTTGTTCAGTTCTTTGTTCCCCAGAAGCAAGTTATTTGCTCCACCCAGCATCCACAGAGTCTTATTTGTACAACAGGAAGTACCTTGGTCTACCTGAACTCACCCGTGTCTTGCACCAAGACTTCCAACATGTTTTCTGCCTACTGCTGGGTCTCCACCTCCCTGGGCAGCCTCTTCTATTGTCTAACAACCCCTCCCATGAAGAAATTCTTCCTGATATCCAACCTGAACCTCCCCTGGTGCAGCTTGAGGCTAAATGTCCAATCAGCAGTTGGTCAAGCATTTCATTCTCATTCATACAGCTGGTTCTGTATAAAATATTTAAACTGCCATGAACCAGCACTCCTGTCTGAGGTAGCAGTTCTCTGCCTTTCACTGCACGGAGCCACTCTTTCTGTATCCTTGGGAATACAACAGCTTTGGAAACACCGGTATACCTAAGGCTGTGTAATAATGTTGCATAATTCTAAGATACAGAAGACGTTGCTTCATCACAGAAATATATTTCATGAAGAGGGATGAGTTTATCAAGATGTCCCACGTAAAATTTTAATTAGGTCTGTGAGGTGGAGCGACCGCTTGTCTTCACAGAGTTTGGGCTTTGCTCATCTATGCCTGGTAGTATGCAGGAGCTGCTAATTTCAGACTGGAATTATTGACATAATTCAATTCTGATGAATCATGGTTAATTTAGGGGGAGGGTTAGTCTTCCCCATAGCAGGGAAAGCTCTGAGGCAGTGTTATATAGGAAGGAAGTAAAAACTCGCTTAACAGGGAGAAAAGGCTGTTTCACATTCCTCAGAGAAGTTAATAGTTCACCAGCAGTGCCCTGGCTGGAGCTGCTGAGGTCCTTGAGCAGCAGGTATTCCATATATGGAGAAGCACTATAAGCAGGTAATTCCCTGACCTTAACCATGGGAACCAGGAAGGTGTCCCTGTCCATGGCAGGGGGCTGGAACTGGATGATCTTAAAGATCCCTTCCAACCCAAACTATTTTGTGATTCACCTCCCAACAGCACTCTCCAAGCAGCATCTACCACATCCTCCATTTTCCTACTGTAGCTAAAGCATGAAAGAAATAAAGCTCATTTGTCACAGGCCCAAGCAACACATACCTGAATTCTACCACTCCCACAGGAACCTTGCAGTACCTGTCCCTGCAGCCATGCTCACTTTGTTGCAAAATGTGGAATATGTTAGAATTATCTGAAGTCAGGATGTTCTGTGATGTAAGATCTTTGTATACTTTCAAGCCTAATCAGCAAGAAAGGAGAACTCATCAGTGGGACAGGCAGCAGATTCATCCCTTAGTCAAGGACATCCTGGAAGCAACAAGCTTTAAGGAAGCAGTAAATCAAGATGTTGATGTCTATGCATACAGTGCTAACTTGGCAAAATACTCAAGGTCCCTGTATACTATAGCTGAACTATCTTTATTGTAATACCAAAAATCATGCCTACAGGTCAAAAAGACCCTGGCCAGGTGCAGACCCTTCCCTAGAGCATGTGTAGAAGTTAGCTGGGATTACGTACTTTCTATAGAAATTAATAATGAATCCTAATGTCCTGAGGAGGCCACCAAGATGATCAGAGGGATGGAGCATCTCTTCTAAAAGGAAAGGCTGAGAGAATTGGGATTGTTTAGCCTGGGAAAGAGATGGCTCCAGGGTGACCTAACTGCGGCTTCCCAGTGCCTGAAGGGATCCTACAAGGAAGACACAGACTATTTACAAGGGCCTGGAGTGACAGGACAAGGGGGAATTGCTTCAAACTGACAAAGAGGAGGTTTACATTGGGTATTAGGAGGAAGTTCTTCCCTGTGAGAGAGGGGAAGCATTAGCACAGGTTGTCCCATCCCTGGAAGTGTCCAAGGCCAGACTGGATGGGGCTTGGAGCAACCTGGTCTAGTGGAAGGTGTCCCTGCCCATGGCAGTGGGGTGGAATGAGATGAGCTTTAAGGTACCTCCAACCCAGGCCATTCTGGGATTCTTTGATTCTAATAGAGGGGCTGTGCTTGGCAAGTGACTAACTCCAAACTTCTGTGTGGAAAGTCCGGTGGGGTGTGCTGGATTTGTGGGATACCACCAAGCATCTGGGCTTGGGCAGCTCTGAAATAAATAATCCATGTCGCTCTCAAGTGTGTCATTATTGGCTTGTTGCACACTGGGGAATGAGCCTGATTTTGTTCCCCAGACAGTAACCTGAATGACCACACAGCACCACATGCAGAGCTGTGGGTGTGATGGAGACTGGGCCCCTCAACACAACCTCCCTGCACTGGTATGAAGCTGGTCACTGTCTCACGGTGATCCTATAGCTGCTGGGGCATCCCCCAGCCTGGCTCTCACATCCCCATCCCCTTCAGGAGGATCACAGGATCAGTTAGGTTGGAAAGGACCTCTGCAATCATCGAGTTGAACCGATGACCGAAAGCCACCATGTCAACTTGATCAGAGCACCAAGTGCTATGTCTGGTCTTTCCTTAAACACCTCCAGGGACAGTGACTCCACCACCTCCCTACACAGTCCATGCCAAATGGACTTCCATTCCAAATGGAATTCCAAAAGTCCATTCTGAGATCCCCCAGTGCAGCTGCCACAGTACCTATGGTGATGGGCAAGGGAGGTTACACAGGATTTATCCTGAAGGCACCTCTCACAGGCATCCAAATACATCCAAACCCTGTAAGTATTGTGAAAGTGCATATATATATCAGTGATGCAGGAGAGACCAGAGATACCGTTTTAACTCATATTCACATGGTGCTTCGAGCTGATAGGTGGCAGGAAGGGTGGAATGAAGCAAGCAGAGCCTCAAAAAGGAAAGTTGGATGGCTTGTGCTGCGATTAAGAGCGAGAAGCTGCCCATAGCATCGAAGCAACAGCTGCTAAATGTAAGATGCACTTGAAAGAGTCTCTATTTTGTTATACAGGGAAATGAGTAGGTTATTTTGATTGAGAACACCGCGTTTCCCAAACCGCCGACCCCTCACGGGCAGCGCCAACATGGCGGTGGGCCCCGTCACGTGCCCGGCGGCGGCCGCGCCCCGCGCGCGCGCGGCGCCTCCCCCGTGAGGGAGGCGAGAAAATGGCGGCGGCGGCGGCGCCTTGAGCGGCGCGTCCCAGGCGAGTGTCCCGGCGGGACGCGCGGGGCGCGGGCGAGCGGCAGCCGCGGGGCCCCGTCCGGGCCGCGGGGGCGGGGAACGCGCGCCCTGACCGCGCCCCGGCGGCGGGCCGGCCCCTCCCGCCCACCTTTCCTCCCCTGAGGGGGCGGCGGCGGGGCCGGGCTGGGCGAGGCGGGGGCTGAGGGTGGGTCCGGGCGGGGGGCGTCCGGCGAGGGGGCCGCGGGGCTGCTCAGCGTGGGGACGGTTCACGGCGTGGCGTGGGGTGTGTTCCCACAGACCATACCTTCGTTATTTGTTTTATTGTCATTTTATTACCTTTTTTTTCGTTATTTAATTATTTCTTTCAGTGCCTTCTGCCACATACCAAAATGCCTGTGGGTGGTTAGGCTTGGAGGAAATTTTCCGGTTTTTTGGGGGTTTTTTTGTGGTTTGTACCCTTGGAGTTGTAGCAGGAGGTTGTGAATGGAAAGAATAAGACTAAACTGTATATATTAAAAAGAAAAAAAAAAGCCCCGACTATTTTTAGATAACAGTTATGGTTGCAGATTGTCAGCAATGTTTGTTATTGCCATGGTGTTTACCAAACTTTATAAAACATGAACAGTGATATTCGTGTGCACTGTGAAGGTACTTTAACCTTACTGGCATAGACTAGCAGGTATTTTTTTTACTTACGATGTCTGCTTTCACCAAAAACTATAATGCAACAAAACTACTGAATATTTACCTTATGCACAGTAATTTGAAGTTATGTGGCGTCTTGTACTGTTACTGCTTGAATAAACACTTATTTTCAATATAGTTTTCTGTTGTGCTTTGTATTTTGGGCTTGCTTAAACCCATAGTGGTGGTTTAAAGTCACTTAAGTGCGTTTTTTAAAATTTACTCTGTATTACGGAGGTTCTTTAACTTAAAAGTTGCTCGAGAGCATCATTGCAAGGTCTTCATCATTAAAAAGGATTAATTTTACTCCAAATTAGCATCTCATACCTGCTTGAAGTGTGGTGTCGGAGGACATGCTGGGCAAAATTTTAGGAGCTCTTTCCTGTTTTCGTTGTACATCCATTATGGGAACAACTTGGGCAGTGACAGCGTTATTTTTGAAAATGAGACACTCTGAGCTAAAGGATTAACAGCTCTCATGGGGTGAACTCGTGATGGAATAGTTAGCAAGTGGGATATGTTGCACATCTTGCTTATAACACATCCAAAATGTGGCTGAGAATGAAGGAAATGATACATCCAGTGTTGTTTTCTTAGGCTCATTTAACTGGTTGCATAACTTTGCAAAAACTACCTAGACAAGTTGTAGGTGTAAATATTTTGAAGTGCTTTTAATGTCCTCTGGAGGAGACACGACTGGTTTTTTGAGGTACTTTTCATTATGTGAAATTATTGTAAAGTGGTTTTAAAAGTGATGCTGGTTTTATTGCAGTTGGAGTGGTAACCTGTGTGTGTTAATTTGTGCCCTGATGTAGGCAGACAAATGGCATCGATAATGCACAGCACATCTGAATTTTTAACAGCAGATCATACTTCTTTAGTTCTAATAGCAGGGAATCTCTACTTTTAAAGCATCCTTCATTGCCATGAATTTTTTTTGATGGCAAAGTATATGCAAGGATCCAATATGATGATGGGCAAGAGGTCCTTGGGTGAGCATATATCTGTTAAAGTTTAGTTCTTGCAGGTGTGCAGCTCTGCTCGCAGAGTAGTTGTGTTTTGGGAGGTGAAGGTGGAGCCTGGCACTGTAGTGTTCTGCTTCCAGCTGTGTGAGCTGAAACTCCTAATTATGTTCCCGTTTGATGCAGCATCCAATGGGTGGTTTGTTAAGCACTTGGCAAAGCTGCTTTTTTTCCCAGTACGTTGCAGCTCTCTCTGATGATTTCTCTGAGCCCTTCTTTATGGTAAGAAGGAAACACATCTTCCCCTCCTCCCTTTTATTAACATCCTTCTAAAAGCAATAAACAGCTACTATGCTGTTTCCTGTTAATTATAGTACTAAGACTGAAAAAGAAACCAAAGTAAACACCCCTCATATATTGAGGTTTGTGATTCATTTCAGTTTTAAAGATGACATTTTGGGAGAGAGATTGTACTCTGCAGCAGAGGGAATTATCAGGCTGGGGAGGATCATCTGAGGTGATTAGATAGGTAGTTTCTTCCTTGTTTCTTGCTGCATTGTGTGAGGTATTGCTGTAAAAAGCATTTTTCAATATATCCTTTCCCTTTCTTTCCAAACAAAACATGGCACCAGTGATTTTTACCAAGAACAGGTTTTGCTTCTTGTCCAGGATCAACCAGCAGTTCAGTGCTGGGCTGTGAGGGAGAGGGATATGGCAGTACACCTTTGTAGCTGGCTGGAAATCTTGCATGTATTCCTGAGCAACTTTTGATGGATCTTAGATTATAACCACGTTTCTCAGTAAATTTCATCAAGCAATAGCAAATACTACAAACTTAGATTAGGTATTAGGAAGAAATTGTTCCCTCTGAGGGTGGTGACTGGCACAGGTTGCCCAGAGAAGCTGTGGCTGCCCTGTCGCTGGAGGTGTCCAAGGCCAGGTTGGACGGAGCTTGGAGCAACCTGGGCTAGTGGAAGGTGTCCCTGCCCGTGGCAGGGAGTTGGGGCGAGATGATCTTTAAGGTTTCTTCCAACCCAAATCATTCTGTGATTCTGTAAATCTTATCCATTTGCAAACTGTCTGTTATTTTATCTCAGCAAAACTTTGATTTTTTGTGTTTAACATCAATGCGTGCTGGCCTTGTTTGTGATCACTGTTATCTCCGTCCTGCCAGGCTGGACGGGCGCTGCACAGCGATGGAGAATGAACCAAACACAACAACATGTTCTGCACCTACAACGAGTGTCGCCACCACCTCCACCTCCCGCACTGCGCTCCCACAGATCTCCGTCTACAGCGGCTCCGACAGACATGCTGTCCAGGTACTGGGCTGTGGGATGTTCTCCCCTGTCCTGTACAGAGCCCTCAGTACAGGCATTGCACAATACTTTACACAGGATTAACTTTCCAGTCTTAATTGCTGTTGTCTGTCTGCATAGCTGACTTACCATTTTCAGGAGGTGTTGTCTACTGAAGGATGTCAGACCACTTAAGGACAGTGCAGGGTACAGACCTGACTCCCAAATAAGGGAGGGGGGAAATGCTACACTAGAAAGTTTGGTTGGTTCATCATGTGCTAAGGGTATGGATTATTAACATAAACCTTTACAAAATAAAGCTGTTTGAGCAACATTGACTACCCAGAGGTATCTGTGTGGGATCCAGCCCCTTCTTGCTTCTCTTGAAATTAGGTCTCCTTGAACTCTGTACAATCTATTCTGTTGGGTTTCGTAACTGGGTCTCTCACACACTACCCTGGTCTCTCAAAAAGCAGAACATGATGTAGGATGTGTTGACAAGCAGCTGAGAGGCTGGGATGTTGTGTTGGGAATGATGCTGTATTGTCAGGCTGTCCTTGAGAGCATGAATATATTGATGCTGACAGTGCTCTGTGACTTTAGCAAGAACAGTGATGGAGCAAGTTCAGTATTACAAAACTGGTGTGAAAAGAATTTATTTGGTTGTGTCTCCTTGTAAAGGTAAACTTCAACATCATGTCAGCATGGTGTGTGCTTTGTAATTGTAATTAATTACCTACTGATTCATCACAGGTTATTCAGCAGGCCTTGCATCGTCCTCCTAGCTCAGCTGCTCAGTACCTCCAGCAGATGTATGCAGCCCAACAGCAGCATCTAATGCTGCAGACTGCTGCTCTGCAGCAGCAGCACTTAAGCAGTACCCAATTTCAGAGTCTGGCAACTGTTCCACAGGTGAGAGTGAAGATTGCTGACAAAGAACGGTGTATTATCTAGGGCAGGGCTACAGTCGTTGTCAAACATAATAACAGCTTAAGTGCCTGAGCTTAAAGCCTCACCATAATTCACTGTTATGTTCTAATGACATTGTTATTTTAAATTGTATCTTCCTCCAAACAGTTTGGAGGGTTTTGTCTAGTGGTATAGGTGCTCCAGTAGGCAACCATTCCATGCTTTATTGCATGCATTATAATGCATCATGTAAATCATCAAGCAGTAATAAAATAAATATTAAAAATAGACTACTTCAATCTTCATCCCATGATTTTCTCTAAATGTTGATGGGGAAAGCAATAAATAGCATTGTATCCTAGTAAAATCAAATAAAAATAATGAACATCTTAGTGTGTTTTGCCTCACATCTGGCTGCATTATAAGTAATAGCAAAATTCAATTGTAACTCTGAGTGTGAAAATGTAGGAGGTAAATGACATTTCATTTCTGAAACACAGCTTTTAACATTAGTGAGCACTGGAGGAGACCCATTTTGAACTCAAGCAGTGGCAGGATTTCCTTTGACCTCAGTTGACCTTAGATTGAGAATATGATTTTGCAGAGAGAGGTGGTTGTTAACGATTTTACACATGGAAATGCTAAAATGGAGTTAAAGACCTCAGGGGAATGGCTGCTTGGTGTCAGAACCGGACTGGCTCTTTTTGGCTCCTGGCTTTTCCTTCTATACCTTTTTCATTAGATTGTGGTAATATATTGATTTGTCTTTTTTTGTTGTGATGGATTTGTGTGTGGATATACAGTTACCGAGACAGAGCAAAGGAAAGCAAGTTGGGGGAGGCTGAGAGGTTTTGGTATCAGACTGTTCATACAGAAACCTAAATCCCTGTCCCTGTATCATCAGAAGGGCTGGAATAGCCTGCTGTGATAGACTCTAGATGTGCATACATAATTTACCATTCTAGAATATGAGGGTGTTCTTTACGGCATTTGTAAGGTTTGTTTTATTTTTTTGAGGAGTCTAATTGTAGTAAAAATATGTGAGTTTTAACAGTGACAGTTTTCAATGATGTCACATTTTAAGTTCTGAGTGTCGTAGGTAGTGAACTGACCAGTAAGCTCTGTCATTAACAGCTTGACAGACTTTACCTCTGATAGGTTTTGTTCAAGTCTTGCTCTGATAGAACCTTCATGCCTGAAATTGGGTAGGAATTCAAGGAATTTAGCACCTTGCAGATAGGATTCCACAGTGCAGAGTGCACTTTGCTGAAAACTATTTCCACTGAGAAAACTATTTTTACTGTTAACTCAGACAAAAGGTAAAGGTAGAGAGGGATATTTCTCGTGGTTTATGCAATAATATGAACAACACTTAAACCCTTTCTGATTTCAATATTTGACACCTATTCTTGCTATTTAGGCAAGCCTGTCAGGTGGGAGGCAATGTACTTCCCCCCCTGGGAGTGTCACTCAGCAGTCAAGCATGTCGCAGACCTCGGTACGTAACTGAACACAGCCCTCCATCCATTCCCAACCCTGCTTGGTTGTTACATGGCTACTGGGAAAAACAGAAAATACGTCAGGATTTAAAACTGTGCGGTTAAAATTGGTGTTGCAGAGTAAACTGCAAGACTCCGTAGTAAGCGTTGGGTGCTGTCTGCTATTGTTGCTGGCCAGTGTTGGCTTCCCCAGTCCCAGAGCCCTCCTGGTGCTCTGAGGGGCAGCTCCTCACTCCACAAGCACCAGTGATTGTTCAAACTCCTGCAGAAGTCACTCCCTGAGCTCTCATACTCTTACTCAATTTCTTATTGGATTTTCCACATTAGTTTCTTTATTGAGGGCACTACAGGAGATTAAAATCATTTACTGTGTAGCAGTGATTAAAGAGCACTGAATCTAAAGAATCCAAGTCAATGCTAACATATATTTATGAAACTGATGAAATGTTTATAGCATTCATTCTCTTATTGATTATCATCTTTTATCATGCATCTCTTTCGCACTTTCACTTCCCATAATCTAGGCATGTGCTCAGGTTTCAGTTTTGAGCAGCTCTGTGTTCAGTTCATGTTGTATTTCTTTAAGTGGCATCTTCAGACATATAATTTGCACAGTCTTTACAGTTTTACAGTTGTCTGGTGTTGGATTTGTTAGTCCTGCAGACATCTTGCTTATTAATCACACCCTCGAGCTGTTCATGACTCCAGTGCATAGCTTCAGTGATTTAACTGTATATTTTTTTAAGCTCTCATAGCTTGGCTTGGCTTACAGTTGTTAGAAGTAAAATCATTCATTCATTAAATTTAGGAGGGAAAGTCTTTAAAGATGTCTGATGTTAAACTAACAGAATAATTGGGCTGGGGTTTTTCAAGGAAATCTTTTAAGTAAAAGAGCTGGGCACTTAACTCTGTTAGACTGGTTAGAAAAGAAAAAAGAAAACCAAACCACAACAGCTTTTTTTTTTTTTTTTTTGAGAAGATGCTACAGAGCAGTTGTTGAGGAACATTTAATATGAAATTAGAGAAAGTTGTAGTCTTCAGTCATTTTTCAATATGCATCTGGAAAATAAGGATTTAAAGTCCATATGTGGTGGCACAAAGAAGTATCCTGATAAGGTTGCATAACAAGCATAAGAGAAGATACCAATCCAGGCAGATAATATAAACATTTAAAAATGCTTCAATATTAAAATTCATGTGTTTTTGTTAAAATATGTGGGCTCATGCTACTTCTTCTGTAAATGTGTATTTCTATGAGGTATATTTTTCAGACTTCATAATATCATTGTTTATACTCGTAACTGCTTATTATTATTTACTGCAAAGTGGTTGCTTGCACTTTAAGAACCAAAATGTACAGTCTTGCCAGAATTCAGTTTTGTGACGATTGGGTCAATATATTTTTGATCCCTTTACAGTTCAGAGATTTCAACTGCCCCTGCCATTTTTGTCAAAGGCTTTCTGGCTTTAGACCATAGGATGACTGAATTTCCATGACAGAGGCAATATTTTTGTTTCCTTAGATTAACCTCTCCACCTCTCCCACACCTGCACAGATAATAAGCCGTTCTCAGACCTCCAACACCACCAGCAGCAGCATCACCCAGCAGACGATGTTGCTGGGCAGCACCTCTCCCACCCTGAGTGCAAGCCAGGCTCAAATGTACCTGCGAGCTCAGATGGTAAGTTTGGATTACAGTCCTTAAGACTGGCTTAGGTCCAACCCTGTTGTCTCCACAGCTCTGCTTGTTAAATAACGTTTTGACACACTGGAAGATTGAAGTTCTCTTTCTTTATTATAGTAGATATTGGGCTGCTCTCTTGTCTTTGTTTCACTCATTTGTAATATTGCAGGGGAAGTCCTCTTGTGTAACAGATCATAGGGGTATTTATAAATTTCAAAGGTTTTTTTCAACATGTAGAACAAATATTTTAAATTATTTCCCTTTAGTTTTATTTACTTAAAATTACCATGATAAATTGTTCTTTAAGTAAGTTAATCTAACAGTAAAGTAGTGAATCTTAGAATCTGTGCATCAGTACATGTAAGTTATGTATCTCCTTAAGGTGCTGCATTTCTTTTACAGATTTTAAAAATTTCAGTCTGTTGGCATATATTTTTTTCTTGCTTAACAGCTTATTTTTACTCCTGCGACCACTGTGGCTGCTGTCCAGTCTGACATTCCTGTTGTCTCATCATCCTCCTCATCTTCCTGTCAGTCTGCAGCTACTCAGGTGAGCTTGTGTAAACTTATGGAAGGTCTGTGCAGTAGAGTGGGCCAAAACTTAAAAGGAAGGAAACATTGTGTGCTTATAAAAACCAGACCTTAGAGCAGCTGAGCTGCTGGAGGGCTCCTGCCGAACTCAGCTGTTCCTCTCTCCTCTCATGGACATCTCAGGTGGGTCACCTGATCTGTGAAGGTGTGCTGAAGGTTGAGTTGTACTCACAGGGGTAGGGTTGCAGTAAATGCCATCTGCATGGCAGTGAGGAAACTGCTACTCCTGTCTTCAGAACAGGGTTTGAACACTTCCTGTGGTGACATGCTGAGCATGTGAGAAGTATAAACTAGCTGTTCATTACAGGAGTGCTAAATGTTGAGTAAGGAAGGGATCATGTAATCAAAATAGTGGATGGTGGTAATAATTAGTCCTCTTTTTCATGTAAATATGATGTAAATTAGTGTACAAGTCGTTGTACTTGAAAATAAAATTCTAGCTCAGCAATAGGATTGGAGATCTGGGATCATTCTGTACAGAACCTGGCTGTGATATAACAGACTTCAATGAAAATAATCTCTGCCGAGATTTACTTCCAGAAGGCAAACCTGTTGTTTCATGTGACACTGGAGGTGTCAGGAAAAGATAGATTAATATCACTGTAGAAACAAAGGTCTCAGTTTTGTTAGTGCATGGATAACACAGAGCAGATTCTGATCCCACCGACCGCCCAAGGTCTGCTTTATGTTGGTGTCTGGAGCTCACTCACAGGCAACTGCACTTGTGCAGTGTCTGTATGAAAATAAAATTGCTTTTGCTTAAGATGCTTTGTGTCATTCACTTTGAAGGCACAATAAAAGAAAAAAAGTTTTAATTCAAATTAATGAACAATTTCCATTTCTTTTGGAAGTTCAATAAGGAGCAAAAGACTTTTCTGTGTTTTCTTTATTGCCAAAGTAATAAAGATCCCTATCCTTCTCTAAATTTTATAGCTTATGCAGATTTTTAGATTCTTTTAATCACATGGGATGAGAAATGTTACTTAATGTGATTTATTTTTTTTTTTTGCTATTTTTGCCTGATGTTTGTCGTGGATGTTTATATGGTTTGGGTTTTTTTGTGTTTTGCTCATTTCCCAGGTTCAGAACTTGACGTTGCGCAGTCAGAAGCTGGGTGTGCTGTCAAGTTCCCAGAATGGCCCACCAAAGAGCAGCAGTCAAACCCAGTCATTGTCCCTGTGCCCGAATAAACCTGTCACCATTTCCAAGGGCAGCCAACCAGATCCCTCAGAAAGCAATAGGAAAGGCGAGAGCCCAACTCCGGAGTGCCGGAGCACGCCGGTCACACGGACATCCAGCATACATCACTTAATAACACCAGGTAGGGTGAAAACGGAGCTACAGGAAACTTATTTTCATTAAAATAATTGGTATGTTACGGTTCTGTCAGAGTTCAGCGCTCTCTGACAGAGTTCTTTTAGATATTCCACATGAATAGAGTTTAAATTTTAATAGTAAATTTATTTATTTGTTGATATTGGATGTTGCACAGGATGTTGACTGAGCAGATGCAGTGATGCAGGAATGTTCTTAAATCACACTACAAGCACAATATAGCAATTGCAATACACAGTTGAATCACAGCACAAACCAAGGCTCTCATTCCTGGTCTCCCTGTATACTTATTGTCAGGCCATGTCATCCCCAATCTCTGGGAAGCATTATGTGGGCTGAAACCCTGTCAAACCTCTTGCTCTCATCAAAATCTATTTGTTTGTGGTTAGTTTGGTTTTTTTCTGTCTTGTCTGTGTCATCAGAATGTTCCTCTATCAAGTACCTTTATAAATCCATAGGTAATAATGCTCAGAATCTTAGTATTTTGTATTAAGAGATAAATGAAAATAACCTGCACTTGGTTAGATAAGCACTTCCATTGCATGCAGCTTATTTGCATCTTGGCATCCTTATTTTGAAAGAGTGAGGGTAGTTTAGACAATTGTTCTGAATTCTGTGGAATTCAGCTTGGCTAATGGCAGCTTTTAGAGAAAGAGTGGGATTTGGAGGCAGACATTCTGGAGGTACTGAGCACTCATGCTCTCAGAGCTCAGTTTGGTAAGGAAAAAAAAATCCATCCTTAGTAGCAGAATAAATCATAAAAATCCTACATAAATGAGTTTTTTCTCAAGTGGACAAGACAAAGCAAGAAGAGGTTTGGATGTGGAGGACAATATGTGTGTGTGCTGTAAGGAATTACTAGTGAGTTACTGGTTCACTTTAAGGTGGTATCTCTGGAAGCTGCACTATTTTTAGATTGTACCTCTCAGTTTGTGTATTCAAGTTCAGGCAAATACTTTCAGTGGTTTAAATTTATCCTGAATTCTTGGAATTTTAGATAATACTATTCTTAGAGACTAAATAAACTTTTAACTTAGCAGTTGTCAGCAAATCCTGATGATTGTGACATGCTTATAATTTCTATTCCAGTCTGTTTCAAAGCAAAGGTTTAATTCCTTTAAAGTTGCATGAAATTCTTGAATAAGCTGGATCAACTTAAATAGATAAACATAATAAACATAAGCTTAAATAGGCTGGATCAATAGTAATCTTAGAACTAGCTCCAAAAAGATAAGTTTATGTACTTTTATCTAGAAAGTACATATATGTAAAAAGCATGGCTATGTTTCTTTATTCATTGCTGCATTTTCCTTTGGGAATGGATATATTCTCCTAATAAATTGTTCTTGTGTACTATGTGCTATCAAAGAAGATATTTCTAAACATGTATCTTAAGTGTTCGAAAAATTGTGCTGATCTTTAAAGCAAAAACTTTTTAAAGTATTTTATAATGTTTTCAGGATTTGAAGAAATAAATACTAATTGTCAGGTGTGGTTTTTTTTTTCCTCTCACAGCTTCATATTCTCCATTGCAACCTCATTCTCTAGTAAAGCATCAGCAGATCCCACTTCATTCACCACCTCCAAAGATTTCCCATCATCAGCTGATATTGCAGCAGCAGCAGCAAGTCCAGCCGATCGCACTCCAGACTCCTTCGGGCCAGGAGCCGCCTCCATCCCAGCACTGTCTGCCCCTCCCGAGCCACGGGCTTCCTCCGGCTCCCAGCAGCGTCCCGTCCCACTGCTCGCCGATCCACATCCATCCTCCGCCTCTAACGCTCTCTCCCAGCCCATCCCAGTCAGCGCAGCAGTCGGTGGTGGTGTCCCCTCCGCCGTCGCACTCCCCGAGTCAGTCCCCCACCATAATTATTCACCCCCAAGCCCTTATCCAGTCCCAGGCGAACTCCCTGGTGCCGGCGGCGCTGCAGCCGGAGCCGGCGGCTCCCCCGCCCGCTCCCAGCACCCCGGTGCGCCCGGTGGCGCAGCCGCTCAACCTCCCGCCGCACCTCCCGCTGCCGCCCTCGCCCGCCGTGCACATCGGGGCGGTGGAGCAGCCCGGCCTGGTGTCCCCGGGACAGCAACTCGTGCCCTCCACGCCACACCAGCAATATCCCGCCCTGCAGTCCGCTCCCATCCCTCTGGCTGCTCCTCCCCAGCTCTCGGCATCGTCCACCCAGATTCAGCCGCTGCCCTTGCAGTCTGTGCAGTCTTTACAAGTGCAGCCTGAAATTCTGTCCCAGGGGCAGGTTTTGGTTCAAAACACTTTGGTTTCTGAGGAAGAACTTCCTGCTGCAGAAGCTCTGGTCCAGCTGCCATTTCAAACTCTTCCACCACCACAGACTGTCGCAGTAAATCTGCAGGTCCAGCCATCCGTTCCCATTGAAACTCCAGTGGTAAGTGGTAACATTACATCCTTTATTCTTTATCCTGGGCTTTTCCAGAGCTGTGACTCTGGACCATTGACTTCAGAGGGAGCTAAGCCAGGTGCTAGACAGAGGACAAGAAGAAAGCTATTGACTATAGAAATGAGTTTTAAGGAAACAATAGACGTTTTTCCTCTGGTTTATTTTTTGTTGGCTTTTTGTAATGGATCATCAGTCAAGAATATCAACCAGGAATCATAGAAGTGCAAATATGGAACTTAGAATCTTATCTTTTAGTGAAATTGCAGTATGTTTAAAGTTAAAAAAGTATGTTAACAATTATGTTAAAATGAACTTTTATAAATGTACCATATGGACTGTAAGCTCTTACCTCTATCTTAATACAAATATAGACATTCCAAATTTTGAGTAAGAGAAGCATCTCTATACTAAATGTGAAGGTGTGTAGCAGATAATTAAGATAATAGGGTTCTGAATAATTATTTTTATACTAACATAGCAAATATCCTCATCATAAAAGAATAGGGCAACTTTTGATGCTGTTTTGGTAACCCCCAGCACTGCCATTTAATTTGGTTCAGTGTTAGTCTCAGATGTCTGCAGTTTGTAACTGAAGGTTTTGGCTTCAGTCACTGACCTAAAATCATGTACAGTGAAATAAAATGATGTGCAAATAACGCATTTAAGATGTCATCGAGATTACCTTGAGCAAAAGAATCAACAGGTCCTGTAGGCTTTTTTTGGGCTATCAACAGGTTAAGGAAGGAGGTGTGGTGTTCATTTTTAACTTATATTAAGAGTTA